AAAGGTTATTATTTTCAAAAGAGGACGAATGCCAGTTTAAAAAAATGGCTAAGTCTATCGAAGTGGTAAAGTAGTAATATCGGCTTGACGATGGTCTGTTTTGTTTGTAATTGTACTCTTTATACACAAGGCGGGCAAAAATGCGACGTTTTCTATGGTAAACATCGGCATGGTAGATGGTACTTGAAGTACTGTAGTTGCTAGTATGCATTGAACAGCTGCGGCACTGCAGCGGGACCTGCTGGCAAAATTGCATGTGTGCATCGGGCCCAAACATTTGAAAGGTTTATTTGTGTAAATTTATCCATAAACGTAGTCTGTTGACATATATTAATCAGATGTGTTAAAATGCGTTTTTATTTATTGGGCGTGAGTTAACAGTTTATTTAAAAATATATCTTCTACATTTCCTCACGAATGGGTTATTCGGCGATTGCAGACATATCGGCGAGATACAGGTCTCTATTCTGGCAATCCTTATTTTCAGATCGTGTTTTCGTACCAACTTCCTCAGGGCGCAGAGACCTCCGATCAATTCTCCCCCTATGAATATCTGTGGAAGGGCGTTATAGTTGGTGAACTCCAACAGCTTTTTGGATAAGTAGGGACAATTATCCAGTTCGATCAGGTTGTACGCGATCCCTTCTGCATCCAAGAGTTCCTTGGCGTCATCGCAAAGAGGGCACTTCGTATTCGAAAACATGACCACCTTGTGACTGCGAGATAGCCGTGTGATTACATCGACATCCAAAGGCTTGACTCTCTTGCAGCATAGACCCCCCATTCTGGATCGTCGCCAAAGTATATCATCAAAGGGCAAAATCCTTCAGGCCATTCTATCTAAACTGTTACTACTGGGTACCTTTTTTGTCATTTTTCTGTGGAGTTCCACCACATGGGCAGACATATTATATTGGGGTCATATCGTATTAAAAAGTCTTGGGAATGATTGTTTTTTAATAACCTTCACATGTTTTTTTTTCGCGACAACAGTCGTAGTCTTCTGGGTTGACCAAGTTTGGAGAAATGAACAACAATCGAGCCAAGAAAGCTAAATGGTGATCTTCTCGGTTTGTTCTCCATGAAAAATAAACCTGGCTGTGCAAATCAGATCAGTTTTTCTTTAGCCAAACCTCTGAAGATTATCGACTGGACAATCTCCAAAAGATATATATATATATATATATATATATATACTAATGTGGAAGTTTTTTTTATTTTTACTCGTTTCAACAGTGCCGACAAATAAAATTTTTCTTGTACGTGATCCTGTTCAGCTTAATTCTTTTGTTTAATCTTATCACTAACATGTGAGAGTTATCGAAATGTGTAATTCTACAGAGGGTCCAATTATCTTAATGTTTTCAATGTATCGGTCTCCATATTGTATGCTTAAACCGAGTGTCACTTTTGTTGAAAATATTAAAGATTCTTTCCTGAACAATCTCAGAAGAAATTGCTCTTGTATTTAAGTGCCTGCTGGTTGAATAATGGCGCCAAAAGAACCCAATTTTTGCCTTCCGAATGGAGAAAAGTTATGGTCATAATTTGTTGGATTATGACCAGTTTTTCATTACACGTGCTGGCCTTTATTGCTATTGATTTATTCCATGATAAATTGCTACAAAAAGCACAATAGACCTCCAATTTATTTCGCTTTCTGTTCTGCTGAATCATTGATGCTAATTGATCTTTATTTAAATTTGTTCATTTTTTATACAACTTACATGTGTTTAATAATATTAACCCGCAAACTGACAATTCATAAGTAAAAACCTGACAGCTTCAGAATAAAATGAACGGCGGCACAATCGAACCAATTTCCATTCCACGACACTTTTCATATCAACGACACAACTTTCCGTGTGAGAGGCTGTGAAAATGGCGAGCACGCCTCCTTACACTTTCAATAAACTATAAAAATGCGTAATATCCATGGGATGCGCCTGTTGCAAAGAGAGAAAGATAGACATCGTCGAGGACCTAGTGACGACCAACAAAATCGTCATGTTCGCTCGGTCGACGTGCCCGTACAGCTTGGACGCTAAAAGGATACTTGACGAGCTTGACGTCGAGTACTTGACCGTCAGCTTGGACAACTGCCCGAACGGGAACGAAATTGCGAACCTCCTCGTACAGAGAACAGGTCTCAAGTCGATCCCTCAGATCTTCATCAATAACAAGTTCATCGGCGGGGCCTGCGATCTCTCTAAGCTCAGAATATTGGGAATATTGCAGCACATGACTGGTGGTAAGCCGCCGTGTCACGATCGCCACCATCGACGACCTCCCCCTTGCTGTAGTCGCAATTACTACGGAACTGCATTTTGAATAAAAACAAAACAGAAACAAAGATACAGTTTTCATTTTGTGAACAACTGGCAAAATTGTTCATTTTATCCTGCTTAGTAACGTAACAAGGCTACACGTCACCAAACGACAACTTTCAAACACAAATACATATTTGTTTCCTTTTATTCTTGGTTCAACCAGTTCGGATCTCTTTATTTCTTCTCCGTTTTCGATAAAATTAACTTTTCTTATTCTACCAATTTTCCGGCAGTAAAATTCCTGGACGCTGTCGCTTCGATCTTTACATCTCGTTAAGTATTTCAACATCTCTCACAAGAAACCCTATTAAGAACTAAAACGTTTTTTGCCAAAAGGGTAACACATCATTCGAAAAAAAAAACATTTGTTACAAAAGAAATCATTTTGCTTATTTAAACTACATATTAAACTATAAAACATATACGATATTTCCAAAAATAATGTTTATGTGTGTTGTTTAGTGACGTTAGTTAATGATTATTTGGTGATCGTGAGATGCGGTCTGGTGTGACGTGGGTTTTAGAAAAACATTTTCTTTATCATGCCAACCTTTCGATCTTTATTGAGATCATCTTCAGAGCCTGGGATTTATAAACATCGCAACCTTTTTTTCACATCCTACATGTATTTGTATAATTTAAACAATGTTTCAATGTTATAGGACTGTGTTTACAAAACTATCCGAACAGGGCAAGTAACTGAACATACTGTTGTTCAGGAAAGTGTACCTCCTGAAAGGATCAGTATAACATCACGCAAAACAGAGCCGTGACAATTTGTGCTTTTCCGTGTTACCTGTGGTGGTATCTGCAAGGTGATTCTAGATTCTTTAGCTTTTTTCGCCTTGGTACAGGAGACGTAATATTACTTTACAGTGTTACCACCGTTAAAAATGTTGATAGAACGATAAGCAGGTTTGTATTAGCCATCATTGAGAAAAATGTTGTTGGGATGGCAAAGTGGACAGAGAACTTGGCTTTATGGTTAGGATGGATCGAGAGCTTGGTGTGAAAATTTTGGTAGAGGGATCGGATCAATTGTTGAGGTAATTTGAATAGTGAGGTAGAAGTATTTTTTTTTCCAATGGATAAGTTCCCTCCTGAGCACTGCAGCTGTACAGCTTGTTGTACTTTACCCCCTGGCTCCATTTTTTGGGGGCTCGCAACACAAGTGTGAACTCATTTTTGAAGGGGGTTGGGACCATATTCAGGGTCGCCGAGATCTGATCCCGCTCCTTTCAATAATGAGTGCCGTGTCAATTTCTTTCAATTGCGGCCACCGGTCCCCTTAGGCGACAGAAAAAGTCCAGAAGCGACGGTGAGGATCGAACCCACGACTGCGGGATCTAATAGAAGTATTGGATGGAACCAGTTCCACTCCGTTTGTCCAAAGTTGCAGATACCTTTTTTTAAAGGACGTCCCCTGAACAGTCGTCAATACTTCAAGAGGTTATCTTACAAGTCAAAATGGGCTAAAAAATCCCCATTGTCCAAAGTCTGATCTCAATTGTTTTCGAGATATTTCACTTTTTAGGTTTCTTCAAACTTTTGGTACTTTATTCCATAATCTATTAGGTTTCGTGGTCCGATTGACCAAATAAATTCTTTTTCAATTAAGGCTTTGGCTGAGATAAAAAAGTGAGTGTCACGAGCGGGATTCGAACTCACGACCTTACCAAATACGCCGCTGCTCTATCACTTGAGCTATCGTGACTTCGATCCATTCGGACAGTAATTTCCATCTCAACCCCACCTTTTGAACTTTCCCTCCTTTATTCCATAATGTCCGCCTTATCTCAAAAATCCGAACCCCTACTAAAAATTGATTAGAACAATGGAAAAAATTGTTATTGTAACCTTGAGCAAATGAAATCAATGAGAAGATAAATTTTTATAAGTTTCCAAAAATTTTGTTTAAAGTTTAAAAAGAGTTTCTTAGTTCTGTAAATACTGAAAGGTATGGTGATTAAATAAATGTTGCACCTACTAATGAGCTGTAAACGTAGATATATAATTTCCAAAAGTCTATTCTAAAAGGATTCGTGTTTGCTTAAGGTTGCAATAACAAAATAAGTGAATCACATAAGGAGTTTATTGCTCTTTCCATCGGTGTAATCAAATTTACAGTAAGATTAACGAGATACCATGGACTTTATAAAATAGTTATGAACGGTTGAAACAACTTGAAATGTGAAATATCCCCAATGCAATTAAGAAACATACTTGAACATTGGGGACTTTTTACTTCAATTTGTTATGTAGGATAACCTCCTTAAGTAATGACGTCTGTTCACGGGACACCTTGTATAGAATTAGGTAAGTTAAGACGGTTAAAACAAATTTCGGTCCTAATATTGTCGTAGTATTCTGTTAATTTATTGTCTCTTAAGTCTTGTATGGAGATTTCAATTCATTCTGCTGTTTAGGTACACTCTTAAGTATCTGACTTGAATGGAAGTCGGTAGCTTCTTGCTGATGATGAACATTGGAGGCGAGACTTTTTCGAAGTAAATACTCTACTCAATAACATGAATACATTCAAATTTAGTAAATCACTTAAAATACAACTTTTGGATAATTAATACAAAAGCATGTCTTTAGTTTGCACATTTCTAATTCTCTTTCTTAATAGAATTACAGACACAAATTTGATATATTTTCAACAGTGCTGTATAAACAACAAAACGAACATGTGTTGGAAAGTTTAAACATTTACTGGCGTAACATTTTATTTAATCGTTTCGGAATACTGTTGTAGTGCAAATTGTAGTGAAAGGGCATCCCCTTAGGTATTGAAAACTTTGTCTTTCCCGGGATTTCGTAGCATCTAGGCGGTTTCGGAGCTGTGCTGCAGTTAGGCAAAAAGAAACGCTCCCTGTCGCGAGACTTGTGGTGAGTCTCGATCATCTTGATCAACTTGCCCGTGTACTTGTAAGTGTACATGTCCGCGGCACCTCCGACCAAAGTGCCGCGAATGTAAACTATCGGCAGGGTCGGTATGCCTGTTCTCCTCTGCAGTTCCTGCCCCAGAAACCAACCGTTTTCGCACAGGTCCAATTCGACTAAAGCGTAATCTGCGCCGACTTCGTCCAGGATCTGTTTCGTACGATAGCACCTTTCGCATAACGAGTCGGAAAAGACGACTATCGGGTAAGAATTGATGATGGCTTTAAGAAGATTGTTACTCACTACCTGACGATTGCAACAAGGGCAACATACCTTCGATAACCTGGAGCACGGGCAACACCCCATCGCTGAACAGGTTCATCTTTACTATTCCCGAATTTCGGAAATTGTCTAATAATTCTTTACATTTCAATATCAGACTTGGTACGTCTAGGAGGCCGAGCTATAAATTACACCTTATTTGGAAATAATTTTTTAACGTTTAAACAATTACTAAATGTAATCATATGATTGCTTTCCCGACGAATCAAACAGAAAATTGTATTCTTAAATAAAAACAACAAGTTTTTTTATTGTTGGATGTGTTCAGAGAATAAAAAGTGTAAATTAACATTCGCTCGGAAGAAACCGCGAATTCTTTATAGAAAAGGCGCACTGTCATCGTAGTCTTCTTCTTCTTCTTCTTCTCCTTCTCCTTCTACTTCGTCCAGATCGTCGTCTTCCGGCGGATGATCGTAGCACACTTTATGACACTTGTTCACCGGTGGTAAGCAGCAGTCCGGCGGATCGTGTTCGTCCCGGTCGACGATGAAAAAATGCCCGCCGGCCATCCGTCCAAGTCGGCCGGACAACGCCAAAGCAAAGAGTTCATCCCCGCAGGCTATGAATTTGCCTCCGATGAACATGAACGGAACAGAAAGGCGACCAGTTTTCTTTAAAACCTGCTTCACTAATGGGTCATTATGGTTGCTAAAGTCCAGTTCGATTAAAGAGTATGTCACTTCGGCATCGTCCAGCATCACTCTGACGTCGTGGCCTATGTGGGAATTCTTAGACGTGAACAACACGCACCGGTGTCTGGTAATGATGTCCTCCAACATCGTTTTCCTTTTACAGCAACAAGCTCCCATAACAATTAGCAATCATGGATAACTGCGATTAGTCTCTTTCCCAATAAAGACCATTGGCAAACCAATCTCTTCTGGGCTTCTGTCCTCACCTCATAAGAAGCATGCATGTGCAATACCAAGATGTTTATCGGTATAATAAAACACATGTGAATCAATATTCGTTTTTTATATTTTCTAAATACTTGTGTACAGTTTGTAAGATCATATCCACATACCCATACTCACCCCACCTTCATCTACTACTTGTGGGTTTCTCCTTAATTTGAGATTGTGTTGCCTTCCCTTTTTTAAAGTAAATCTTCTTTCTTATTCTATTATTTGGTAATTTATATCAGCTTTCAATAGGGTTATTCATTTACAACCTCATTTACAAAAATGAGAATCGATATTTCCTAAACGTCGTATTTCAGCAACATCTACCTTGTTCTGAACCGCTGACCATCTTGGGTAGCCTGCCGTCGAGCGCCAGCTCGAGGATCTTCGCGCTGCCTCCTACGAACTTGCCACCGATGAATATCATAGGCAAGCTCATGAAACCCGTCTTCCATCGGAGTAGTTGGACAAAATACGCGCATTGATAGAAATCGTCTACAAGAACGACCGTGTAATCCGCTCCGATCCTATTCAGCTCGGTTTTCACCTCTTCACAATCCGGGCAATGGGCCATACTGGTAAAGATGACCACGTCGTAAGTTCTGATGATACGATCGACGATATCGGGTTCTTTTTTCTTGCAGCAAGCGCTGCCCATCTGCTAAGATAGGTCTAGCCCGAGCATTTTCATTAGAAAGCCAAAAACATATCTTAAAATGTTTTATTTGTATGCATACTACACAAAACGAAATATTAACATTCTAATGCGATCACCATCACTATTAACTATTTGACCGAAAGCTTTAAAACATTGCACAAATTCAACCACATCGTTCATTTCCTGACGTTTTGTAGCAAGAGTCGAGCAATGTAGTCAATGATCTATACTTCACTTTGTGCTGGACCTCAGACTGTCGGAATGCTTCTCTCTGAAAACTTAATTGATCAAAAGTGTTTAATAACATATGTAGTGAATAAAATACAATTATAGAACAAAACAAAGCTCAGTGGAGTAACAACAAAATATGCAAAGCATACAAATAAATAGAAGAAAGTGTCTGACCATTCAAATGTTTTTTGCATCAATATGTAGCTGACTAATTGATTATAGTGTAATCAAGTAATTTATTGTTACATACATATTCGTCTAAATACCTGCAACTTACGTTTCATGAATTGTATTCTCTGATGAGGGCCATTGCATAGATGCCATACAACACTTCACAGGTCAATTGGACGATTAAGGAAGCCATGACTTTTTTCCAGGGTCTCTGGTGACTTTAGTCGAAAGGGATCATTCTTCGCTATTTCCGTAGATGTAATGTATCGCCGTTCCGAAGAGGCTGTACGTTTCGGGGCTAATGCTTTGAAGTTGCATAAGACGTGTTGTGATGGCTCTGCTGTTTCATGACATGGCAGATGCTAGCTTTTCCCATTTTTGATACTGGGCAATGGCCTATAAAAGCCGATCTTCCTTAATTATTGCTTTGAGAGAAAGGGTACATTTTTGTTTTTCTGGTGTACCTTTCCCTCAACTGGCACTAAATATTGTTTGAAGTTTAGAGTTTATACTAACTTGGATTACTTTTTTCCCAATCATTAGTTATACATAAATAAATGTTTTCTTTGGTGTTTGATCAGCCTTCTCAGTTTAAATATACTTTCCTAAAGGTAGATTGGGGATGAGGCCATGAAGACAGAAACAACATTTATTTTCTTGTCGAGCTTTCGGCAGAATATATCGCCTTCATCAGGACTTCGAAAAAAATATATATTCTGCCGAAAGCTCGACAAGAAAATAAATGTTGTTTCTGTCTTCATGGCCTCATCCCCAATCTACCTTTAGGAAAGTATATATAAATAAATGTGTTATATTTGGGTCTATTTCATAATGGGTAGTTTGTAAAATAAAAAGGTGTAGTGTATAACACAACACATTAAAGGTCATCCATTATGGAAAATAAAAAGGCATATAGTAGAAAAAATGATCAATGACTCTATAAGAAAGAAAAAATCAATTTAAGTTAAACATACAGCGTTTTAACTGAAACAAAGAAGACTATTCAATTTTAAACACTCTTATGCAAATAAAAAGTATTACTATTAAAAAGTTTTGACACGTGAGTTTTTATGTAATATGAGAGTTTTGTTTTCTTCCTATTGGTGCTGCCTGTTTTAGTTCCTACGCGTTGTCCAATTTTGACTAATGTCAGCGTAGAAAGCCCGAAGGTCGATTTTGTAAATATACCGATCCCCATGTGTCGATACAGACGATGGACGCCTCCCGAAGATCGGAGAACCTCGTCTATCTCACAGGCTACAAAACGGTCCCCTTGCTCTTCATCAACGGCGTCTTCATCGGCGGCAAATACGAGGTGGCCAAGCTCAAATTCTGTGTCAGGCTCCAGGAGATGATAGGCCAAAACGCACCCAGGAGGCACAACATCGGGCCCATGTTCGACTACGCTAAACGATATAACAGACATTTTTAACAATAAACAACAAAAAAATAAGCTTAATTTTTCCTCGGACATATGGTATATGTCCATATGGGACTTCCGAGGCGAGTATTGTTTCAATTAATTTTTAATATTTTTTTCAACTGAATGTTCCGATCCTTCTAAACCGTTTTTTTTTTACATTATTTATTACTCCCACGATAGAAAGTAGCGTTTTTCATTCATCGTACTACCTTCTGAATAGGAAGATTGTGTGCGGAGGCTACAGAGATTAAATCTATACTAAAATTGGTGGCCATTAAGTGCACGTCAACAAACACAGGTCTAACCTAGTACCGTGGTTTTCACATGGAAAAAATAAATATTTTTTGTCAATAGTGGAACATGTTTCTGAAAATCATATACTACCCAAACTTGCCAGAAGATTGTAGGAAGAGTTTTACAGGTAACCACAATATAATATATCGAATACTCTAATATGTTGTAGGGGAATGGCTGTACGACTCCGGAAACATCTTTTACAACAATATACAAAACTTTAACAGACTATAAAGAGAAAACAAACAGGAGATAATCAAATGGTATACAGATATAAAACCAGTGAATGGATCCAAGTCAACAATATACGAGCAATCAAGCTCACTAGGGTTTTGGGGTAAAAACACTTCTGTCAAACTGAAATACATGTTATTAACGCTTGAGTCATTGAAAATCTTAAAAGAGGTTATACAGACAAAAGAAGTACGTAAAAATATCACATCAACCTTGTGAATTTACCCAAAACCTCATAAAACATAATAACCTAACAGGGTGTCAGGCTCAAAGGAATTTTGGGTGCAGAACAAGAAGATAAAATGGCCGGAGGAGGATCTGCAAGACCAGTTCATAGGTCCAGAGCCTGAGATAGGGATAACCAACCCAGATATAACCATCATCATATTTATAATCAATTGTGAGATTTTGTCTTGAGGTTTGCTGGGTCATTTTAGTCCTACTATCCTTCATGTTTTGGTCTTTCAGACGCATTACATATTCTCGGTTTCAGTGGTGAGTCCTCTGGCACACCAAAACAGGGAAAATAAGTCAGGGTTAAAATGATCGAAAAACGACCAACACTAGTATAATGTATATGTGCATAGAGTGTGATTCCTGAAAATGACTTCTTGGAGAATGCATTGTTTCCTAGTCTGTTCAGACGTTCATCCTTGCTTATCAACTTTGTACAATGACCTCTTCAGGATCCATTTAATACAATTAAAGTAAAAACCCTCAGGGAAATAATACTTTATACTTCGCGAAGTAAAATTTTAGTTTCGTAACGAAACTTATGGGATTCTGAGGTTATTTCTGCTCTAATTTGTTCACACCAATACAGAATGTTGTTATCAGAATATTGAATGGTTTAACATACTTCTATCAACCATCAGAATCGCATCCAATCAAAATTAAGCAAATTGGCCTACGATCATAATTATATACACACTCTCTCTCTCTCTCTCTCTCTCTCTCTCTCTCTCTCTCTCTCTCTCTCTCTCTCTCTCTCTCTCTCACTCGCTCACTCTCTCTCTCTTCAATCTTCTCAGCCCATATTTTCCCGCACTGCTTTTGTTTAACTTTTACATCCACGGTTCTGAGACGACGTCTTCTTAAAGAATCTAGAAGGAAGCGTCATATCAAGTCGAGAAAAGCATTTCTTCCTTCCTTCTGCATAACGTTTCATTCAGAATTTATGGGCGGGATGGGCTTGTACGTGGGAAGCCGAGCATGCTGAATAGAGGTCAGGCGTTGTCTTCTCTAATAAGGCAGGAAGTTGAAGAATGAACGTGTGATGTGAACTTGGAGTGAAGCGTGAAGAATGTTGAGAATGAATGACAGATTCGCTCACATTAAACACGAACCCAAGAAAATCATTAACCGACGTCTGAACATCAAGCAACGAATCATTCATTTTTTTTGCATTAAAAAACAATTAATCATTTTATTACACAAATTTTATGCACTTTCGCTGGTCAAAAGCCTCCTGAGAAAATACGAATAATAAGATCTGAATAAAAGGAAAACTTGAGTTCAATTATGAATGAAGTTGACACAAAAATGATATATTGGATTAAGAAATATAAATTATTGAGTAAAAATGAATTTTTTTATTTAAATGTAACATAAAAATTGACTAATTGAGCAAACCATTTGTCATTTTGGTTGACTCATGAACGCGGAGAGTTTAAAAACTATTTTAATTTGCTTTACAACTTCTAATGAAATTCTCGCATTCTAGTTCCTATTTTGTTAATTAACTAATTGTTAATTAACTAAATGTTTTGTTAATTAACTAATTAATTTGTTCAAACAATGCTGTATAAGATACAGCAAGCAAATGTTAAAATTTTAATTTAAAAATTTCTTTTACTTTGTGGTTTCTATGTCCAGGATCAACTTGGTATTACGTCCCTTCGCCCTAAAAATTCCTCTTAACATAAATTTAAAGAAAAAAAATTCAAATGCGAACTCGTTTTTAATATAACAAAATTTAATATTTTTAAAGAAAGATTAATTTATTAAAAATAAACATTACTTTAAATTCAATTAACTAATTAAAAAGAATTTACTGATATCATTAGCCAGTTATTTCTTCTTGTTTTTGTGTTTTTTTATAATATGCATAGTTGAATCTATATTTTTATGAATTAAATCTTTGTTAGTAACAACATCCTGCAATTTACAATATGTCAATTGTCCTGTGTATCCCTAAAAACTTTTCCATTTTAACAGATTTTACAATTTTACAACACCAGAAGACTTGAAAAATGATTTTTTTTAAACAAGTTATTATTCGTAATTGAAAATATAAAACCAATCTATTTATCTTTTTTTAAGAAAATTCTTTTGTTGTTGCTTTCTAATTGTGAACGAGACCTGAGCATAATCTGCCTCATTTCTTAAGAAAGTGGCGTGAGTAAAATGAATAACATTTGTTTTGTTTTTTTGTGGGTTTTCTTTCCACTATAGTTTCCCAATGTCCATTTTTGTAATCAATAAAACAAACCAGGGCACGAAATGTATGAAGAATATGCAAAAGCCCGCGCAGGTGCCCCTTATGCAGAGAAAGGTTGCTCGATGTGTCCCACATACTGGAAACATGTCATGCCTTGGCTCACTACAGGGAGCGTGTAGGCATGCCGCCGGACTTAAGAAGAGTCTCGAATACAATAGCGAGTTTCAGAGTCCCCTGTTCCGCTTTTTAGGGGAAATTGGGGTTTTTGTTGAATATAATATGTCTTATGTGCTGTGTGTCTGAGTGCATGTATTTATAAGTGTGCATGGCGAGGGGTTAGGGTGAAATATAATGTCATCATCGCCCCTCGAATGTTGAGAGCGTATGAGTGTGTGTTCCGGGTCGATGGCGGAACATTTATAAAAGTACTCCGTCCACCCCAATCTAGATTAGTTTAGTATAGGGTCGGTGGAGGAATATCAAGTACTCCACCGACAAAACGGAATGAGTGTACTGTATGGATGTATTTATGTGTATGAATGTATTTATTTGTATGAATGTACTGTTTGAAAGGGTAAATAGAATATAGACTTAGTTGGGGGCTGAAATTACCTAGATGTCGGAAGGCCTAGTCAAAAAAAAAAAGTAGGGAAAACAAGAATTTCGATACAGTTCTTGTTCAATTCTGGTGCAAATGTAAAACGCTTGAACGTTCCGCTTGGTATTCCTTCCGGTTAAAAGGAAAACAATGTTGATTTGGGAGGAGAGGGCAACATTAGAACCGATTTTAGTAAAATAGGTTTCAACTCTTGTAAAATTTTCATCAGCAGTATTTTACAACCTAGGTTAACATATGATGGAAATTGGAATGATATTTTCTGGTCCGCCTCATTTCCATGTTTGAACGCTTCAGAGGATTAGCAACAACGCTGGGTCCGTCTATTCTTACTGGTGCCCTAGATTTTCAGGATAACTCATTATCTAGTAATAAAACGTAAACATTTACTAACATGAATGAAAATATGAGCCTGGCGAAAGAATCGACTCCAGATAGAATTACTCAATCTGTGAAAATTAAAAATTTGAGATTGGCACAAAAAGAATTAAATCATTTGAGTCATCAATTAAATTATTTGAGGATGTAACGTGTAATTCATTCCTGTATGAGACAAAAGAGAGGGAGAGAGA